TCATGGGATTATTTTCTTTGCGAATAAATAAACAACTGATGTGTTGGAATCAGGTAAGAGTTCTTGGATCAATTGTAAGCACTGATGGCACTTGTTTCTACAGGACATAACACAATAGATTCATTGTCCACATTGATGTATAAACACCCTCTCTCTGCACATTATGTCAAAGAGGAAAACAAAACAAAATGGGGTTTATTGTGTATTTACAAATCTAATCATTCCAGGCTACCAAGTTTAAAAATGCTTTTCATCTAGATGAAATAAAAACAACATGAACAATACACCCCAAATTCTATTCAAACCACTCAAGACTTCTTATTCGTACCTTCTCTTCTCTATTTTAACTTCAGTAAACCTAGGCAATGTTTATTTTAATTCCTGAACTGATAAACACCACATCCCATGTCTATCAGTCAAAGTCTCAAAGCAGTTTTGCAAGCTTCAGTAATCTTCTAAGTCATATATAGGGGCAGGGGATGCAAGTTCAGAAGAGGAAGGGCTGCAAAGGTAAAAGCATGAAAACAAGCCAGAGGAAAACAAAAATATCTCACTGTATTTTTTCTCCTTTAAATACATTCCTCCAGTTTCCTCATACAGCAATTGTTTAGCATCCTTCAGTAGTCTAGGCTGAAATATACAGCACTGTAAAACTTAGCTGCAGTATAAGAATAATGGCTGCAGTGGCAGAGCACAATAAATGCTGGATGCAGTACCAAGTCCCATTCAATAATCATGCTTAGCTATTCAGTCAAGAGTATCATGCTTTTCAGAATAGTGAAGCACATTCTGCATGGCCTTAATTTAACAACTTTGTTATTCGTAATTTACATCTGATACTTCACTTTGCTTAACTTATATTTAATTGGGCAGAAGTTGACTGATATGACTTCTTATTCTATATTTCATACCATCCTAATTTTTTGTAGATCTTAATGGCAGCCGGGATAATTTGATGAGCTGTTTTGGGATACCTAGTCCCAGCCCTAAAAGATAAACATTTCAAAGTATCCACAGAGCTGCAAGGAAAACTGTCTGTCACAGAAAGCTGCAATGTATCTGTGACAGCTGCAGGTGGAAGATGTCTGTGTTTGTCACAGATTGACTCCCTTGCCAGATAAAGCTGGGCTGAGACTTGGCAGCTGGGACCCAGACAGGCTCTCCTGCGCTATGCTCATGGAGGCAGGTGGCTTCACCCCCGCCAGGGAGCTCTGGGGTGGCCTTTTTCACTGGCAGACCTGTGTGTAACACTGACAGGCTTTCTTCTTTCTTTCCTGAGTCAAAGGAGCTATGTTTGCCCACAGATATATATGCCAGGAAAACACCCACTATTTCTCCTCCAAGCTCTTTCTAGTGGTTGAGCTGCCCTTGCTTTTGAGTTGCTGAGAATAGTTTTCAAGCTGAAACAGAAAGTCCTAAGCAATCAAATTAGCCATTTTAAAATGACACTGACAGATGCCTGAACAGCGGCATGTGAGGAACCAGCTCCTTTAAATCAGCTTTTAAAATATCATTTTATTCTGAGATACACAAGAACTGCCTTAAACTACTATCGTCAGTGGGGATTTAGGCTAACCTGTGATAAAGAAGATTTTATAATGAGAGGGTTTTAACAAATATGTCCAGTGCCAAATGTAATCAGTTCTTTTAAGATTGTTCATTGATTATTCTTTTTAATTTTTTCCCAGCAGAGATGATCAAAATGAGCTTACAGGAAGCAGTACTATTTGATACACACTGTGTCACTTTAGGAAAACACATGGTTGTGAATTATTTGGAAAGAAAGCATGCATATTCCTCTAACAATTGCATGGAGTGAAAGTAAAACTCCTAAATACTAACTACAAGAGACTTATGTTGGTTAACTGCTCAAAACTTTCTGGGCATGATATTTTTTTAAGATAAGCAATGAAATCTAGCTCAGCTCAGTCCATCTGAAAGATGCACCTGAGTTTTATGGCTTTTTCTGCTCCCGAAGATGCACATAACATTTATTTTTAGTCGCGTTAGGATAAAACTATTATTTTCCAGTTACTTTTCAGTCTTATCTGAAATATGTTTGATTTTTTACCAAGTTTCCCTTTTTCTCTTTGGAGACTAGTTGCTTCCATTCACTTGGCAAATGGGTCTTAGAGACTCTATAGGAGAGTGAGAAATGACTGTGCTTCAAAAACGAAACAAAAAATGCAAGAAGAACAAACAAATGTGAAACCTCTTCCCATTGCAATTTTCTTTACCTATAAAACTACAGCTGCTTCAATTTGTGACACCTAGTAATTTCTCCTGCACTTGTCAAACCTGCCTGGCATTTCAATAAATTGCTCCACATGTTGTTTTTCCTCATATTTTAACATACCTTGAGAAATATGGTTTTCAAATGGGCTAAGTACAGACAAAAAACAGTTAGTCTGGGTAAAAAGACATTCTCAAACTACCAGTCATAAACAGTCATTCATTAAAGAAATGAATTCATGTATTAAAGAAATAAAAGTTCTTCAGTGAAAAATGTAGTAACAGATGTAAACCAGGCACATATGAGAAGTATGGAAACAGGAGAAGTTTTCTTACTGCTGTTTACATTATTTCCCTTTCATAACTTAGTTTTTTTTTCCACAGGCACACTTGCATGCACAAGAAATGTATTTCCCAGCACTTTTATTCTTTTGTGGTCTTCATCTCGTGAGAAAATGATTTCCATAAAGATCTTTGTTTTAGAAACACAACTTGAAGTGTAAGTCACGAATAGTGACTCATCAGCTTGAGGGCTGGAGTCTCCCACATACGAAAGTTAGTTTTGGGAAGCCTGTGACTGAAGCAGCTTGTTTTGAGTCTCATTCCACATGCTTGGTTGTGTGTGGGTTTTCTTTTGCTTAATTCTTTAAAAAAAAAAAAAAAAGTGAAGTCATTTCAGGCAAATGCCACTGGAAGCTAACACATTTTTCCTCTTAGGAAGTCAAATTTTTTCACAGTTTGAGGCTGACCCAGTTAAACAAAAGCTGACATCAGGGAGAAGTACCTTCTGGGGAAAATACTCTGCAGGTAGGAAGATGTATATGATTTCAATTCATTTTGTAGATCATTTTTCAGGACTCTTAGTTGCCAATGTAAACTATTATGTCAAAGGAATAAGTGGAATAGTGAAAGGAGTACCATTTTGCTTAAAGAAATAACCTCATTTAAAGCAAATAGAAACTGAATAAGGGAAGTAGGAGGAAGTGCCTCAGACGGACATGTTAGCCAGGTTTTTAAATGGACTGAATAGTTTTTCTTGTAATGCGACCATGAAATAAGGGAATTCAGACCACAGCCTAACATTGTAGAGCTGGCCAGTGTTTCCTTTGACAAAGAGAACATTTTCTAAAGTAGTAATTGCACCAAGCTACATAGCACTTGGCTCCTTCCAGCCCCTGCAACTCTCATACCTCACTGGAAATGTGGGCAACCTGGGTGCCTGGCATATCTGCCTTCAACTGACCTGGATTACAGTGGATTACTTTTTAGGTGGCATACCTATGACAGGGAAAGCTAGCACATATGTCTGTATCTCACATTAATGCACAGATCTCAAAGAAATTTGGGTCTTGAAGCTGCTGAGATTTTCTGAAGCTCACATAAGTTCTTCCAAGAACTTCATACAGCATAGTTGTAGGCTAGATTCTCCATCAGCAATGAATGAGAAACAGTCTTTCCCTTCATCTCTGTATGAGCCTATTAGTCCACAGGCTAATAAACTGGGAAGGTCCAGGTGGGAGAAATTTGGTGAAAAGGAAAAGATTTATTTATGTACCTAACTTCTGGAGGACTGCCAGAGTGCTTGGAACTAAATAGAAAGAGAACCTCTTAAGGCTCTTGTCATATCTAATTACAGTTCTCTCAGGCTTTGCATACACTGAATAATTGGGACGGAATAAACGATCTCTCCATAGCTCAGATCTTCTGTTTCACTTTAGCATTTTAAAATTAATTTAAAATACAGAAGGAAATAATTAATTTAGTCCGGGCAAGATGTCCTAGAGCAGTCACCTTGGCTCCCTTATCACTGTACAAGTGCAGAACAAAAGAAGAAAAGCCAGAAGAAATTTTTTTTGAGTTTGAAATGATATTTGTTCTTTCATAGAGGATGGGTGCAGAATGTACATGGAGAAACTGTGGGCTCAAGAAGAAGTGTGCACTAATGGAATCTTCTGACAACATAAATCAAATCTCACAGTCTCCTTATCAAAATAATAGATCTTCCATCTCCTCCAAATGCATTGTTACTCCAGATATGCACTAGAGAGACACTGTCAAATTGAAATGCAGGAGATAAAAGAGAAGTGTCAGGGCCAAGGTAATGAATAGAGACTCCAAGTTCCCTCCTGAGGCCTGCATTTCTTCTTGGCTCTCCATCTCTCAGGGGGGCTTGGCAGTGACAGAAGCCTTGAGCTAGGGGATGATTGTGCCTAACATGCTACATGAAATATTGCACCTAAAATAACCATAGTAAAAAGAGATTTTAAGAAAAATGTATAGATCCTGTTGTGATTCATTTCAGTGTGCTCAGATACAGCACCATCCATGGTGTGGCATCAAAATTCATTGTTTCATGGGGCAGGAAGGAAAGTAAGTAAAGCAGCATATGCACATATATATATGTATGTATACACATACCTATCTATTTATGCATACTATGTGTTAACCTGCTCATACATACACTGTTAAGATTTTGGACCCCTTTGTAAAATCCAGTGAGGGTTGTGGATTGTTTTGTTTGTTTCCTTTTTTTTTTTTTTTTTTTTTTTTTTTTTTTTTTTTTTTTGTCTGGAAATAGTTTGTGAAGGAAGTACAGAAAAATTTCTGCAAGACTCACTGGGGAACTACAGTAGAATAGCACTAAGCTATTCGGTCGCTCTGATGGGGCTCCAAAGGTGAGTCTACACCAAAGCTAGCAGACATTTTCCCAGTTTGTCATATACTTTGAATGATCTGTAGGTCATTGGATGGAAGAGAAGATACCTTGTTCTCTATATATATCTAGAGAAGTGATGCCAGAGATGCTGTGCCTAAATACTTCGATGCAGCCAAGAATTTGATTGCAGTGATGACTGGTCTAGACTGATGCCAAGGCAGCAGGAGGGTCTTTTCTTCCCCACCAGGTAAAGATATATCCTGTAAAATCCATTTGCTTGAGTAAGCTGGTTGTTTCATTTGAAGTAGAGCCAGAACCTGGGATGAAGGCAGAGGAGTATCTGTGGAAATCTATCTATGGATAGATCGAAAGCTCTGTCATTAGGTAGGCAATGGAAATAGTGATGTTGTTTGATTCTCTGAAAATGCCATGAAGCTGTTAAACCTTTAAAGCAGTACAAATGACAAAGATCTTGCCAACGTTCACTGTGCTGTACTGTGTGTAAAGGAGTCTAGTTAATCCATGCCAGATCTTGTGAGCTTGGTGACCATTGAACACCTCTGGCTGAAGGCTGTATTTTTAAGATGCAAATCCACAGAACTCTTAAGCACTGAGATGTATTTAGGTTCATGTGTTCTTTGAGAAGTCAAAATTAACCCTGACCAGCAGTCTTAAAAATCCTAATAATACTTGTTTTTAATCATTGTCACTTATTAGTTTGCTATACAAACTAGACATCAGGTTGAAGTCAGTGATATCACTGTAGAAAGGGGTATTGTGCCCATGAAGCAAGAGAGATAATAGTATGGAGACATGATTCAAACTGAACACACATCTTGGAGGTGCAATATAAGTACACTGCTTTTCATTACACCCACAGTTTTGTGGCCTAAGAAGGAAAGGTCATACTACTGAGCTAAAGATAGCTGTGGTTTGGGACATTGAAGCTGAACACTAGCTGATATGACCGAACATATCTCTGAAGGTATTTCTCACATAGAGATTACTGCTTCCATTGCTCCATGCATGCTTTGGACTAGTCAGTATTTTGGAATAGTTACTTCTGTGTCACAGCTGAGTTTGCCCAACAAAGTCAGTTCAGACCAAGACAATTGCAGGTGTGCATTTTAGGCACATAAATTCAGATGTCTTGCTCTTTTCCAAGGTTCAATATAGTAGGGTGAGATCCTGGTTACACTGTCAGGTAGCAAGGTTGTTGTATCAAATAATGAAGACTGAAGGACTGTGAGTTAAAAAAATAGAAGTTTGATAAATATTTCAGCATTTCATCCTGATCATGGTATGTGGATAGTAATCCTGAGCATCTGATCAGACGACAAAGTTTAACTATGGGGAGGTTTAGGTTAGATATTAAAAGGAAGTTTTTCATTCGGAGGATGGTGAAGCACTGGTTGACCAAGGAGGCTATGGATGCCCTGTCCCTGGAGGCATTCAAGGCCAGACTGTATGTGGCTCTGGGCAGCCTGGTCTAGTGGTTGGAGACACTGCCCACGGCAGAGGGGTTGAAGTTAGACGATCTTTGAGGTCCTTTTCAACCCAGACCATTCTATGGTCATTCTATGATTATGAGAATCAGATACATTTTTGTTGATTACACAAACCTTTCTCAATACGAGATCAGGTCTCGATTCTGTGACTACATATTCTTGTAGAACATGGAGATACCACTTTATTTGAGGGTCAAAAATGATGTTTTGGATGCTGTGCTCTGTATGACTACTGCCACAATTATTTTTATTATTATAATAATCTACGTAACGTTTAATTTCTAGTATTCTTACAGATAAACAATATAAGGAAATTTTACAAGAGTTCAAACAAGAAATGAATCACAGTTTGTAATCACTAGCTTCAAGTTATAAGTTCCTAATACTGGGCTTTCTTCCAAATGCATAACTTCAGCAGCAGCATAGTCATTAACTTTATTATAGGTTTTTATATCACAGACTGTCCTCCTCCAACATTACTTTCCATTATCTTTTCTTAAGATGTCTTATAGCTCTTCTTTGTGTCACAGCCCAGCAGTTAGTCAGAAAGGCTTTACACACAGGATTCCCACAGTGATTTTGTTCCCATAGTACAGAGGTTTTGTCCAACACTACAACCAGAAAATATGAGATTATAATCTCTGTTCTGATAAGGAGAACTCCTTTAATTTGATCTTTTAGAAATGATGAATCTGAAGTTTTGCATGAATTAGAATATGTCAGATGCTATTTTTCAAAATGACATTTCTTTTGAAGCAAGAAATAAATTATCATTTGTCAAATTCCAGCTCATATAACTTATAACAGCTTATAACGTGGAAAAGTTTAGCAGTTTTTCATCAGACAAATGCAGGAATCTTTAAGTAGAACAACAGATACTTTAAATATGAAGTGAAACTTCAGGCCAGTTTTGAGATGTATTTTTGGATAAGGTTGTTGCAATAAATCTACAAGTTGTATTGCTGACCTGCAGTTCAAGCATTCGTATTGATAATCTGTTTTACTTACTTCTGCTACATCCCCGAGGACATTTAACCCCCAGAAAAAAAGCAGACTTTGTAAGAAGTGACAGAAGCAAGATAGACTAGCAGATATCAAATATAAACAGACCAAAAAGTAAAGTATAATATATCTTTCCCATCCATCGTTGACAAAAAATAGCACTCCAGATCATCCATACAAGAATCATTTTTATAGAAACATTAGTCTGATTTTCTCTGTATTATCTATGTTCAAGAAGCCTCTACTAAGATTTGAATCTGACAGCTTTAATCTGTGTAGATTAAATCTACTCAATCTCAATCTACTCAATCTCTTTTTCTCTTCCTCAAAGAGCTTGCAATCTAGACAGGTGACCAAAGGATGAGAGTGAGAAGCCTGTTCTCTTGAGTCCGATCTCTTCAGCACCCAGTACTGGTACAAGGTGGCCCCTTAAAAATGCCATCTGAGAAAGATCCAGCCCCTTGAGATGCTGCCATCATGCTCTAAATGGGTGAGAGTAGAACCTTCCTGTAACATGGAACCTGGGGCATCTTCCAGCTCCAGGTCGCATCTCTATGCGGCTGGTAGCAGCACGGTGGATGCAGACCCCCCTCCCTTTTCTTTTTAGGGGCTCTTGAATGTTTTCAGGGAAGTTCTGATGTGAAGTACTTAGTTGGCAGACACTTTCATTGATAGATGTAGTCTACAGGAACATTTCAGAAAATGACTGAACCCCCACTGCATGCTTTGTACATATTCAAATATATACAGCCCAGAAAAGCACAAGCAATTATGTTGTGCTATTATGTCAGGGAGTCTGAACAAATGGTCCCTGGCAAATGAACTGTATTTTTGACAGCATGCACTGCTTCTAGTTGGGAAGTAAAATTGGGTTCCATTGGTGATTGTATGCATCTTAGAATTGTCTACCCATATCTACAACAAAAGGAAGCAGCCCTGCCACTGTACACAGCTCACCATCTGTGCTTCTGATGCTACACAGAAGTTGCATACTGGGGGGCTGCCTGTGGGAGACATGAGAGGATTGAAATAAGAATGTGTTACAGAGAACAGCAGGCTCCAGTCTCAGGCTGTCACCTCTTCAGCCATATCCTGATACATCACAGTATGGGAACAGGCTTTGGCCATTCTGAAAGATACTTATAAACACGCCTCTTGACACTCTTGACTTTGTAGGGCAGAATCTATGTTTGTCACACATTTTTTCTCATCATTCAGCTCATTAAGAATGTTCTTATTCTTGATGAGCTGAATGGACTGGAAATAATGGCTTTTCAAACTTACCACTGTATTTTACCATATTCTGTTGCCACTCTCACATGAGCAAAACTGTGTCAGCTGGTAAGAAGGCATTTCTTAGCATTTGAAAAAAGTATGTTATTTTGGTGCTTGTCTCATTAAGCTGCTTAAAGCTCCTGAATATCTCCCTGTCAAAGTTTACCCTACCAGATTTTCACTGCTGTCATTTCAAGAAAAGGAGATGTCATCTTTTTTTCTACTAGGGAAAGTTAGAGTGAAGAGCAGTAAAAAGCAGTAACTTCTGTCCTATATAATAGCTAGTCTAATTGATGGTGTTATCTATTTCCTCTTTATTCACTTATTTATGAAATGAGAATGATTTTTCTACCTCATCAGTATATTTTGAGACTTGGTTAATTGCCTGAAAGCTGATTTGGAAACCTGTCAATGCTGTATCTTCAATAAACATTAAAATGTATTTATCTCAGAGATATTCCTTGCTTTTTTAACAATCAATATTTAGTAATCTTTTTGGAAAAACTGTTGTTGCAAATAACATCCATTGGGAACTATTTCCTGGTAGCATGTTATTTAAGAAAAAAGCCACCTGTGTTATCAATTTGATTTTCCAAGCTTATTTCATGCATTTAGGTCTTGCATGTTTTCCTGTTGCATTAGCATGTCCATTTACATGTTTTTCTGCAGAGATTGTTGCCCCCCTTCCATTTTAGCCTTCACTACCCTAGCCAAATTGTTGAAAGGATATAAGCTTTCCCCTTACTTTTCAATTCTCTGACTCCTTTCTCCACGGACATAACCTTTGATCTCTCCCAAGCCCGTAACCTTCATTAAACCATGTCTTTAAAGTACTTTGTGTATTCCTCTGAATTCTTAGTGCTTCTCAGCCTCTGCATATCATATTTATTACTCTCGCCATTTGGCAGAGGAACTACATTGATTTTTAAGAAGATATAGCTGTTGGCTCTATCGGTAGCTCACTTTGCATCAGCTCTTTCCAGAGAGACAGGGGTGTCCAGTAATGTTTGCACTGCTACTCTTGCTGGCAATTTCTTGCGTCACAATGTTTTTCAGACAGTTTGGATGTTCAGACTGAAGTTAAATTGCACAGAGGGTGATGAGTTGAGTTATGATAGTAATGACATCATTGTATATGGGGTAAGATTACTCTAAGAATTTAACTCCAAATGCTAAGGTCTTTACACCAGTGCTAATATGAACTTGGCAGAAGAGTCAGAGATCTCGTGGCTGGTCCTTCTTCAAACAGAAGTCATGACTATGAAGTACTCTGAAGGCACATAATGAAGAGAAACCAAAATCAGGTTCAAGAATATCTAATCTGATCTTGTAAGGAATGATCCAGAGCAGGCCCTAAAAGAAACCTCACCCCCACTGCTACTTCATTAATGATGGTGGATAACGAGAATAAATATGGCAGAATAGCTGTGAGTGAATCTGGAAAAATCCAGTAAGATCCTGA